TCCTGGTCCTTTAGCCCCGCCGGTGCGGCAGGGCAGCCTGCCGCAGGTGCCATTCCACATGGCTACACGGTGGCCCGTGAAGGCCGGGCCTGCACTCCTCACCTGTTGTTTTCATTCTGTTTTATTTCATTTCTTTTTCCCCTGGAGTTTCATCATCCTTATCTCGTAAGTGTGATAATGTGTGTGCAAGCCGCAGTTAGCAGTGAGCGTGCCCGAGGAGCTTCTCAACCCCTAGCCATGGCCCCTCCCAGCGCCCACCAGGCAGAGCATGCTGGGGAGTTCCTGTCTGAGGGTAGAGACGTAGCCCCACATAGCGCCATCAGAGACCCCCCATCTGAGAGAGAAAACGGACCCGGTCCTGGGGAGCCCCTGTCTGAGGGTGGAGAGACAAGGCTCACCTACAAAGCAGGCCCTCAGTAAATGCAGACCAAGTGAGCAATGGAGTGGTGCCAGGTGCAGGGGAGGCCGACCCGGCCCAGCGCCCCCACAGAGCACAGCACGATTACATGTGTGGTGGTGGGACGGGGGGGGCTCCCAGCAGCCTCCTCCTGGATGTCACTCCTCGTTCAAGCGCTTCCCAGTACACCAACTTCTAGAGCCACCACCTGATTCTCCTCTCCGAGCTGCTCACACACCGGGTCGCCCTCTGACCTCGTCACAGCAGGTTCTCAAAACCCTGTGCTGGGGAAATGGCTGCAGGAAAAAGAGAGCCCAGGGGCTGCCCCTGCCAGGTGGGAATTAGGGGTACCAGGTCCCACGGGCCCTTCCCCTCCCCGCCTCCACCATGCCCCACCAGGGTTCACAGCTCCTGTGGGGGAGGGAGCAACACATTCGGCCCTGACCCCTCCCCTTAGCCCTTTCTAAACCATTTGGGGCAGAGTGGGTCGCGTAGGGAGTGGGTGGAGAAGGAGGGAAGGATGCAGTGGAAATGAGCAAGCCGGCCTTGGGGGAGAGGGAGGCTGGCTTCAGTCATGAGAGCCAAGAGGGGAGCAGCGTGTGAGGAGGGAGAGGGAGGCCGAGGTGGGCTGATGCCTGAGACGTCACTGTCACCCAGGCTTTATAAAAAGGACCTGGGAGGGAGCTAGCCAGAGTGAGCCCAGGAGCCCAGTGCCCCTCCTCTGGGTGTCCACCTGGCTGGGGACCCCGCCGGCCACCCACCGAGCCAGGACTGAGCCAAGGTAGGTGCACATGGCATCCATGGGGAGGGTCTATGCAGGGAGGTCTTGGGCTGACCGTGCGTGGGGGGAGACACTGGCGGGGGCTGATTACCGAGTTGGCCAGGTTATTCTGGGATGCCTGGAATCAAGCGCAAGGTACACGGACTTGCCCTTTGAGAAGCCAGGACCCCAGGTAGCCCCGAGGGCTCTCTTGCTGCAGAAGGAACAACGAATAACCCCCTGCGGCGGGGAAGGGAGGCCACAGAACCACAGGGCTCGGGCGTTCACGGACCTCCTCTGGGCAGTTCCTCCCAGTGGCAGGGGCAAATAAAAGCCAACCAGAGGGCACCCACCTGCACCTGCTAGCCCGTCCCGAGGACCAGGGCCGCCCCGGAAGTAAGCCGCCCTGTGGGAAAGCTTTCGCTCATGCCTGGAGTTTCTGGTACCCTTGAGGTGCAAACCCCAGGCTGAGGGAAACAGGAAGCTTGTCCACAACAGGGCGGCCACCCCTACACCCGGGGGGGCAGTGGCTGTTTTCCAAATAACTCGCTCTGCGTGTATAAAGCGCTCCCCTGGAACGAGCAGTGAACCGAGAGTTGGAGGAACCTCTGTCTGGGACTAGGTGTTTGTATATGTGTGTATGTGGTGTGTATATGTGCGTGTGTGTCTATATATGCTATGTATGTGTGCATGGATGTGTGGTATTACGGTGTGTGTGCGTGGTACATATATGAGTGGGGTGTGTGTGTCTATGCATATAATTGTGTGCACGCATGTGACATGTGCATGTGCCGGCAATAGGCAGAGTTGTCCCATGGCACACATGGTAAGTGCCATCCACCGTGGGGAGGAGGCGCCACATGGGTGGGGGAGGGAGGAGAGAGAAGCCTGCTGCGGTCCCCATCCTTACTGCCCAGAGCAGCCGGGACACACCCCTGACATGCACACCGCCATGTGTTCCTGGCCGGCTCGGCCCTCTCCAGGACAAGCCCCGCACAGCCCCTGTCTCAGTCTTGCCACTCTTTCTGGGGAAAGCTCCACCTCTTGTCAGCCCGAGGGCCTGCAGTTCCCTCCACACCCAGCCCCAACGCCCTCCAGCACCCTGCATGTTGCCAACCTGACAGACGCAGCCCCCACTGCCGGGAGTGCCCTCTCTAAGCCTCTCTTCACCTGGTCAGCGACAGCTCAGGGGCTGCCTCCTGTCTGGACCCTCCAGGTCCGGTTCCACCCCCAGCATACTCACATGCGTCCAACATGCCATTTACAGTGTCTTTGTCTTTGGTTTTTGTTTTTTTAAGAGAGATTTTCACTATAGGGTGTGTGCACTTGCCAGAGAGACAGAAAGCAAGAAATTACCACCACCACCACCACCACCCCCGGGAAGATGACCATGCCACAATCCCTTCTCCATTCTCTTGGGATCGAGGGCATGCATGCACGCACATGTGCCGGGTATGAGTTCCAAGCCGCCAGGTCCAGGACTTGAACCATAGTTGACTGTGTGAGAGTCCAGCAATATAACCATTATACCATCTGCGGGTCCCTATTTTTTTTTAATTTGCTGGAGAGCTCATGTGCTCAACAGAGAGAGAGAGAAAGCAAGAAAGCACCCCCCGTGGAGGATGGTCACACTGCAATCTCTTCTCCATTCTCCCTCCTTTTGGGATTTTGGGCACACACACACACGCCTAGTATGTTTCTCAAGTTGCTGGGTCCAGGAATCGAACCATATGGTAGGCCATGTGAGATCTAGTTGCCTCACTCACACCTCTGACTGGCCCTACAGTATTTTATTTTTTTAAGAATTATTTTATTTAACTTTATTTATTCACTTATTTTAATTTGGCCAAAAAGGGACAGAATGAGTGAGAGAGAGAGAGGGAAAGTGAGAAAGCAAGCCGCCAGGTCCGGGACTCGAACCACAGTTGGCCATGTGCAAGTTCAACGCCCTTAGCCACCACATCACCTGCTGGCCCCCCTACAGTATTATTTTTAAGTCTGTTTATGAGTCTGTTTCTCGGGCTAGAGGTGAGATCTTGGGATTGGCAACCTGTGTCAGGTTGGCCACCTGTGCACTCCCAGCACCTGGCATAGCATCTGGACCTAGTTGGTGCTCGAGGAATGACTTCCAAACCTGCCTGTCCCTGAAAGCCTTGGGCTCCGTTCCCACTAAGGGGCAAGCCGGCCTTCTCTCCATGCGCACACACTCCCCGACCCCCGCCTTAGAGCAGGTGCACAGAGCTTAGGCCCGAGTGTCACACAAAGTCTGCAAGGATAAGTAACCATGTGAGTGGGCAGCTGGTGGCCACCTTGTCCCGGGACTGTTGTTTTACAGATGGACCAAGGCTTGGAGATAGGGGTGACTTGCTCCCGTCTCACAGGGAATGAGGGTAGGGTGGGATCAGATTCCAGTACTCCTAATCCCATTTCAGGATTCTTTCTTCACACACCATGCCCAGGCTCTGCAGAGGGCCGCAGGCAGGGAGAGGGACAAGGGCAGAGGGATGCATGGGACCCAGCAACCTTTAGGAACTCCCCCTGCCTCCACCCCTACCCCTGCCCCATACAGGAGGAGGCTCCAGGCTCCAGGCTCCAGGCAGAGATGACCTATCTGCAAAGTCTACAGCACCGCCTGCCTCCCCGCAGTTTGTCTTTAATCATTTTTCCGACAGCCTCAAAGTGCCTGATGACTTTTTCAGAGAAATTGAACTTGGGAGCTGGAAGAGGTGGGGCGCAGAAAGAGAGAGAGAAGCATCAGATGGGAAAGGGGGAAGGGGCGAGGGCCGGGGCACACAGCTGCCTTCTGAGAGCCAACATGATGAGGCCGATTCAGTTCTACCCTCTCAGAGCCCACAGAGGACAACTATGGGGACAATGGGCGGATAAATCAGGGAAAGGGTTTTCTCTTCCCTGAAGCGCAGGCAATAAGACCACTTAACGAGGCCTGGAGGCTGAGAAGGGCCCGAGATAAAGAAGATTGCTTCTTCCTTTTCATCTCAGGAGCCCAGTTTCCATTGAGGAGGGAGAGAGGCACTCTACAGGGGACAGTGGGCACAAGAAGTGGTTGGTTTATGCAGAGCCCGGCATGGAGGGGAGAAGAGCCCCAGCCTCCGCAAAGTGTCTGAATTTCAGAGGCGCCACTCAATGCCCCAAACCCCTGCCCCACTTCACCTGTCCCCAGTCACTATTAGACAATGCACCTCACTCCTGCCCTCTCTGAAAATTAGAATCCTGAGCCATTTCCCACCGCGAGCAGTCCTGCGCCTTCCACCAAATTAAATCCTTCTTTCCTTCCTAATTTTACTGGCCTCACCTCCTCTAAGAAGCCCTCCATGGTGATACTCACCTAGCATGAATTCAGTTTTGACGACACTATGCAAGAGTCTCAGTCCATCTTCCTGGTGTGTTTGTTCAGACTCACACGTCCATCGGGAGCCTCTGAGAGCAGGGTCCTTCTCGTCGCGCCCCGCACCCAGCCTAGTTCCTGTGTCTAACCTGGTTCTTGTTCCCTCTTCTGTCTCTGCCTTAGGGCACCTCTAGGACCTGCCTCTTCTCACCAGGATGAACTCACTGGTTTTGTGGCACCTACTGCTTTTATTCTGGGCCACCTCCCTCGGGAAGTCATCAGAAACGGAGGCACCTGTGGCAGATCCTAGACCCACAGGTATGCGTTGTCTGGGGGAAGGGGTGAGGGGGAGCGAATGAGCTGTCGCAAAAATGAGATTCACTATATTTTCCCGATCAGAGCTAGTGTTGGGACGTGAGCCTAACGCCGGGACCGGGCTTGCACACAACTCACCGTACGCCCTGCAAGTTAGGGCCGCTTCAGTTCCCCTGGGCTCATGTGTGTGCTCACCTGAGCTCCTTTGTGTTTTATTATTATTATTATTCATTTACTTTCATTTGACCAGAGAAAGACAGACCCACAGAGAGAAGGAAAGTGAGAAAGCAAGCCACCAGGTCCGGGACTCCAACCGTGGTCGGCCGCGTGGGAGTGTCCAGAGCCTTAACCGCCACACCACCTCTGGTCCCCCAACTCCTTGGTGATTTTACACCTGTCCTCTGCTCAACGCCAGCCACTTCTCTGTGCACGTTGGGAAGGGACTTAATATGCAAGTGACCGTAGAGCCTCCATAGAGAATTTGAAAACAACCCCAAGTTGTTTTTGTTTGTTTGTTTGTTTGTTTTTTGGTTTTTGGGTTTTTTTGAGAGATCTTTTTGCATTAAGGTGCATGTACTTGTCACCCCCTAGGGGGATGGCCACACGGCAAGCCCTTCTCTTACATTCTCCTTTTGGGACTTAGGGCATGCATGTACACATGCCCGGTGTGAGTTTTATTATTTATTTATTTATTTGCTTTAAAGAGAGATTTTTGCTAAAGGGCACATGTGCTCACCAGAGAGACAGAGAGAGAAAGTGAGAAGTCAGCCCTCAGGGGGACAGCCACACCACAATCCCTACTCCTTCGGTCTCCTATCGAGATTTTGGGCATGCATGCACACATGCCAGGTGTGAATTTTAAGCCACTGGGTCTGGGACTCAAACTGAGGTCGACTATGTGGGAGTCCAGTGTCGTAACCCCAAAAGAAGCTAAATTAAAGGATAGATCCTTAACACCTGTCAATCTTCTGAGTTCATTAGGGAACTGATACGTTGGAGAAACTGAGGTCCAAAGAGGTGAAGAGATCTCCCCAGGGGCCAGCAGGTGGCATGATGGTTAAGGCGCTGGACTCCCTCATGGCTGACAGTGGTTCAGATCCCAGACTTGGCGGTTCACTTTCTCACTTTTTCTTTGTCTCTCTCTGGTCAAATTAAAAAAGGAATGATAATAACAAACAAAAATTAAGTAAACAAAGAACTCTTAAAAAAAAAAAAATGGACCTCCCCAAAGTCACTCAAACCCTGCAGAAACCCAGACGGTGTCAGGGCCTCTGAGTGGCGTCTACTGAGGGCTGTGAGCCAGAACGGAGCTGGTCCCCGTGGCAGGAACTGAGGTTTGAACGCTGCTGCTTGGCATCAGCTTCTAGCCTCCCTGGACCTCTGCCCCTCTAGCTGCTAAACTCAGGGCACACTCTCTACACACGTGTCTCACTGTGCATGCCCGCCCGACATGCCAAACAGCCAGGCAAGAGCATCTTCTAAGGGAAGCCGCTCTGAGAATAGCCCACCACTGCCGGGGGGACTGAACTGTTGACTCTTTTCGGTGAAAGACTTTAGACAAGGCCACAACTGGCCACCAGAGCAACGAAGCTACTGCGTGCTCAGTGGTTTATCTGGCGGGGAAGCCATCCTCCCCTGACTCGGCCAGGCCAGGGCAGGTAGGAGAGCCTTTCGGGCAGATTGTCATTACCTTTGGACTATTCCACACTCCTCCAAAGTGTGCTGGGCACTGAGGAGGACTTGAGTCCACCCCCCACACACACCCACACACACCCATTCACACACCAGGCCTCATGGCCACTAATCTCTTGTCACAAAGGCTGGGGTTATTGTCTGCCTGGGGCTTGTCGCCCTATTCACTGTCAAAGAGCAGAGGACTAATGAGCCCTGCATGTGAAGTGTCCCAGATGAGCTTGTTACAGTATGAAGGGGTGGGGAGGTGAGGGTCAAGGTGACCTAGATGACTCCCACTGGGTTCTTTTGGGGATCACAGGTGTGGGAGGGCACAATAGACTTAGCTCCGCTTTCTGGATTCCTGTTACTACACCTTTCTCATTAGCTGGTCTCTAACAAGCACCACTGAGGCCCTCCTGTGGGCAAGCCACTGACTCACACACTGAGAGATACAGAGGTGAAGGGACATGGGCCCACCCGGCTGGGGGGGGGGGGGGGCTCAGTCCCACAGCCCC